TTATATAGAATGAGAGTTCAGATTAAATGCTACCTCATTTTAAACTGTTTTCCAGTTTGTTAAGGAGCTGTGTACCTATGTCTAACAATTTAGAATTGTCTTTCTTTCATCTAATTTTTACACTCATGTGTAACATTGATTTACTTATTTTGGCTTGCATATAGAAAACATGTTGCATACTTACATGGATAAGATAATTTCCAAGCAGTCTCCCATGTTATTCTGAAAGAGATAAACTGTTGATCAATATGCCACATTTTTCTTTCAGTGTCAGCTTTCACCACCAATGAAAGCTTCAAGGACCTACACCACTACTGAGCTGAGAGCATGCTCAAACTTGGCGTAGATGAATTTAAGTGGTAGCTCTTTAATTGTATTTCATATTTAAAATACTCAAACCACTTCAAGACACTCAGCATGTCAGAGTCAGCTACCCCAAAGTCTGATATAAAGGACCCTGCCAAGAATGTGTCCACACCAAAACGTGAACCAAAAGACCTCTCGGTCGCCCCAAAGCGCGACTCAAAAGACCTCACACTGCCCACCAAGCGAGACTCAAAGGACGCCATCAAGTCGCGTCACGACATCTTCATCCAGGAGATCGAGAGCATGGACGACTTCTGGGGCTCGACGTTCCGCGCCGTGTACGATAAGGGTGAACAGGACCAGTTTGCCCGTCAGCTGGACGAGCGTATCCGCGAGCACGACCGCACCATCGAGCGCATGTGCAGCTCCCACTACCAGGGCTTCATCGACTCGATCCGTGAGCTGCTGCAGGTGCGCACAGAGGCAAGCAAGCTGAAGAACGAGGTGGTCGGCGTGCACGACGAGTTGGTAACTCAGTCGCGGCAGCTGCTGTCGCAGGGTGATGCCCTGGCGCGCGCTCGACGACGTCAGGCGAACACCGAACAAGGTGTGGCGGCACTCATGGCGTGCCTGCCCGTCCTGGAGATGTACTCGAAACTACGGCGTCAGATGGCGGAACAGCGCTTCTACCCGGCGCTGAAGACACTGGAGCAGCTGGAGGTGCTGTACCTGCCGCGCGTGGCCGACCACCGCTTCGCGCAGGCCATCTGCGAGAGCATCCCTAAGATGCGTGACAACATCCGCGCGGCGGCCATGTCAGACGTCAAGGACTTTCTGGAGGAGGTTCGGTGTGAGTCGCCGCGCGTCGGCGAGGCCGCCATGCGCCACGCGGCCGAGCAGTTCTTCGTCGAGCGACCTCCTCCCGCGCGCCTCCAGAAGCGGCACACGCTCGCCTTCCTAGGCGTGACGGCTATTTCACCGATCGCGCTGTACGGAGAGGACGGCGACGGCGAGGCGAGCGACGAGGAGGGCGCCGCACAGGACCTGGTTAACTTCTCGGCCGTTTACCGGTGTCTGCACATCTTCACCGCGCTCGGCGCCCGAGACGCGTTCGAGGAGTACTACCGCAAACAGCGTCAGAAGCAGTGCAGTCTGGCGCTCCAGGCGCCCTCCGGAGGTCTGGCGCAGGACTCGCTCGTCGCCGTGCAGGACTACCTACACGGCGTGGCTGGGTTCTTCGTGATCGAGGATCATGTCCTGAACACTGCCACGGGCCTGGTGACGCGCGTCTCGCTGGACCAGCTGTGGGACGAGGCTCTGAGCGAGCTGACGGGCGCGCTGCAGACGCACGCTGCCTGCTGCACTGACCCGAACCTCCTGCTCACCTTCAAACGACTCATCATGGTGTTCAGCCACACGCTCCGCAACTACGGCTTCAACGTCAAGCCGCTGCACGGTCTGCTGCTGGAGGTGCGCGACCACTACAGCGAGGTGCTGATGCAGCGCTGGGTGGGCGTCTTCCGGGAGATCTTCGACCAGGACAACTACCACCCGATCGAGGTCGACTCGCCGCAGGAGTATGAGCAGATCACGCGTGTGTTTCCGTACACTGACGCCGAGCTGGCGCGACAGCCGTTCCCCAAGACGTTCCCGTTCTCGCTGATGGTGCCGAAGGTGTTCTCTCAGGTGAAGGAGTTCATCCACTCGTGTCTGCGCTTCGCCGAAGACCTGGATCTCAGTCAGGGTGAGCGGGATGACCTGCTGCGCCAGTCGACCAACGTTCTACTGACGAGGACACTCTCTGGATGTCTGGCGACGCTGATCCGGATCCCCGGCCTGGGCCTGCTACAGCTGATTCAGATCACCATCAACACCATTCACCTGGAGCAGGCCAGCGTCTACCTGGAGGACGTCATCACCAAAATCACCGGGTAAGAGAGCGGCTTGTGGTCGCAGGAGGATCATGCAATAATTGCTACTTTTGGTTTATAAAATGCGTCATCCTCGGAAACGCGTTCTCAGTCGTTTTCTAGAGAATATATTGTTTAGGATAATAGGTAACATTTCCATGTCTTACGTTTTGTGGTCAGTCTTTGGCGCTTATAACCAAGTTATGTGGTTTGGTCTTCTATGATTACGGAGCGAGCGAAGCGAGCGGAGTCTTACGTAGAATAACGGAAATTTCTGAGTATGAGCGGCCGGCCGGCCGTGGTCACGATTCTGCGACGCTTATATCTCAGCAACCACTTGACCGATTTACATGCGGTAATTTTTGTAGGGTAGCTTCATTCCTTCTACCAAGTATTGGACTATTCCCGATGGATGTGGGTGACCCCTTATGCACGTGCCACGTGCAAAACGAAGAGGTGTCACTTTTGCAATTGTTGCAATATCTCGGTAACTACTTGGCCGATTGCGCTGAAAGTTGGCATGTAGGTAGGCACCCACTAGGCAATGCATATCCATGTGCCAGAGTTGGGGTGCTGCTGCACGTGCGCACGTGCAGGGGTCGATTCCAGATCTCGAGAACGGCTGGACCGATGGCGCTCAAATTTGGCACATGGTTAGGGACCGGTTAGTAGGGTGCCGTGCAAAAGTCAGTTGGGACCCATTTTGCACGTGCGCACGTGCAGGGTGCCGCTTCCAGATCTCGAGAACGGCTGGGCCGATTGTGCTCAAATTTGGCACATCGCTAGAGACCGGTTAGTAGGGTGCCGTGCACAAGTCAGCTGGAGGTACCCCCTCGAAATTTCGCACGTGCAAGGCTCACCCTCTCGCTCGCTCCGTTAGTCGCCCCAAAAGGCGTTATACTGGTTTGATAAGGGTTCTATGATTTGATTCTATGATTTCTATGATGTGACAATGACATTTCACCGGTCGCTTGCCACCAGGCTTACACTTGTCTGTCTCCTCTAACCCCTTCCCCTCCCTTCGGCAGCTACAACCCGAAGCAGGACGGCGGCGTGCAGTCCACTCTGCTCGGCCGCGTCATGTTCAAGGACATCCGCGCCGAAACTGAGCAGCAGATCTACCGGCAGCTGCAGGCCAAGATAGACGAGTTCCTCGAGCTGGCCGCCTACGACTGGCTGCTGCCAGAGCCGTCCGGCACCGCCTCCCCCTTCCTGGTCGACCTCATCTCCTTCCTGGAGGCCACCTTCGGCGCTTTTACCAACCTACCGGCGCACGTGGCGCAGACGGCCTGTATGAGCGCCTGCCAGCACGTGGCGCGCCAGCTGCGTCAGATGCTGCTGGGAGAGGAGGCGCGACAACTGTCCACCGGCGCCCTTCAGCAGCTCAATCTGGATGTGATACAGTGTGAACGTGAGTACACGGCGTGACTGGGCTGAGGTGGACGGGGCATAAGGGAGGAGTTTGGGAGACATCGGGTGCTCGAAAAGGTAAAGAGTGTGGGACTCTGGCCGTGACTAGGTTATAGCTAGTCAGTATAGGCTCCGATGTGGCAGTCGCTGCTGCTCGGAGCGCACCGTGCAGTGGCGACATCTATGATAGATGCCAGAGTCGCCCTGGATTGCCATTTCGACGAGTTTGATCCTCACGGAAATCGAGATGCAGTCCAGATGCCACCTCACGCGCTTTTTTATTCAGCCAAACCAACTCCACTGATTATCGGAAAAGATGTTGCCCAGAAGGAGTTGATATACTCATGATGCCGACTGTCTGGCAGACTTGCCAAAAGCCAGCAAAATAGTGACTGCTCTTCTGCATACTCTGATTTCACCTGCCCTGCCCTGCCCGTCTCTCCTGCAGAGTTTGCCGCCTCTGAGCCGGTGGCCGGGTTCGAGGAGGGCGCGCTGCTCATGTGTTTCGCCGACCTGCGCCAGCTCCTGGACCTAGTCTTGGAGTGGGACTGGGCCACCTATTTCGCCGAGTACGGCTCACCCACCAGCCGCTACGGTCGCGTCACGCCGGCCACGGCGGTGAAGGTGGTGGAGCGTCTGAGAGACGCCGACAAGAGGAACATGTTCTCCGTGCTGAAACGCGCCGAGCGTGATAAGAAGAAGCTGCAGGACACGGTACTGAAGCAGCTGCGACAGCTGGTAGCGCAGGTCGGCAGCAGTTAAATGGTGCGTAAGTTGGAGGTTAAACGCTGCATGAGCTGGACGCATCCGACTGCGTCTGATATGAGGCTAAAATGGTGGAGATTGCGGGACGCTTCTATGCGAGGAGCCCCCCGCAAACCAGTCATCTTGAGGCTAGTGTACTGCGAGATACCATGACATACTGTTTACCAAAGGGCTTCAAGTTCGAGTCATTGTGTGGCTGTTGACTTTGTGTTCATGCGCTTGTCGTTCCCACCGATGTTTTGACTGTATCGTATCACCTTGCATGAGACTCCCGGGGTCGGGCTGAGATTCCGGGGAGGTTGATTTTTATGTTGCGCTTACGGCGAACTGCCGCGTTCATTGGTGCAAAGCTGAGCTTGCGAGGCTTACTGAAGTTACGTTCAGTATGTATATCGTGCTAAGTCATTATGCTGGTCAACTTTTGTCGCGTGGATATTATGGTAGGCTATACAGTGGGGTACCCAACATGTGATCTATGAAACATTGATTACTCAATATATCGAATTATTGAAGGTTGCCGGTGTAATCTTTCTTTCAAGGCCTACACGAGCTAGCAAGATCTACCACCATTTCTCGAAACATCAACACGCCCAGCATAATGTATAAGGATTCATCACCGAAAATTGTATATTTACAACATTTCTGCACCACGGGCCGTCCAGACATTCTCATTGTCGCTTGGGAGCTGGCACAGCACGGCTGAAAACCGGCCGAAAAACACGAGCGATGTAGCGCGGGGCTCCGCCGCACCCGCAGAGCTCAGCGACCGGAGGGGACCGCCGCGCACTGGAATGCTCGTACCGGCATCAGAGTGTCTGGTTCCTACCGCCCACGGCCGCCCAGCGGCCCTATTGCACGTGTTGCCACGTTTTGGCGTCTGGTGGCGACCCGCGCGCCGCGCGAGCGTCCCCACTCGCCCTCTTCCTAGACTTTAACGCACCTCCTCGAGTAGCATGGGCAACGGACACATAAGGATCAACACGGCTACACATATATAGGTATATCGAGTCGGACGCGTCGCGCTCCCTGCTGAAGTATCGGTCGGGCTTCCCGCCGCACAGTGCTCCGAGCGTAGGACCGGGATTCCATTCCACTCCTGGGAAGTCGATTCGAGCGGAGGTTAACATCGATACGTTAGGTCGACAATCGAATCGATTCGACAGTTCGTAACGAATACTTCGAATGAAATACGTGATTCATAACACTTACATCCATATCGATCTCTGTTGAGATTATGGCGAAGCTTTGCAACGGTGCCGTAAAAACAGTCTAGTATCCGACGAATCGAACCCGTAATTGAGATATTGTCCAGATTGTTTCCATAACAAGCAAGCAACAAACTAACGATGAGTGAAGAACCAACAACGAGGCGAAATTTATCCTACGCTCCAGCAAATGGCCTATATCTCGGCTATTTTGATTTCGTAAACCAAAATTCTAGGGTAACATTTCCGACGCTGCTGAAAATCAGTCGTCCTCACACGACACAATCGACCGGTCCACCCACGCGAGAGCCACCCTCCTGTAAACCATCCAATCACAAATAACGCGCTCTTTTACGGCCGGCCGGTTAGCGAACACATCAGCGCGCGCGCTCACATGATTGGGTCGCCGTTCAGGGCACGGCCCGGCGGCTCGGGCACCAGGTCCTCTCAGGAGTCGCACCGCTGTCTCTGCGGCACTCGAGCGCACCCGTACACACTAGCGACCGAGCAGTGACCGTGCGTCTAGCACCACCTTCCCCTGTCTGGCTACATTGGGTCTACTTGGGCGCGTCGCCGCCGGGCGGCTGTTGGCAGCCGGCGCCGCTCGAGGGCGCTGCCGTCGCGGCGGCCGGCGGCGCTGGACGTTCTGTCGATCGTGACGCCGATGCGACGTGTGCCGTTCGGTTTGTCGACTCGATTGCATTCACAGAGGTAGGACCGTCAGTGCCGGTTGCAGCAGCAGCCTTCACAGTCGCCTGCTCGGCCGCCGCGGCAGAGGTGGGGGCAGTTTTGGAGGCCGTCGCTGTCGTCGCGTCGGGCGCCTCTGCCTTGACGGCGGGCAGCACGGCGACGCCGTCGGAGGTGGCGGCGTCGCCCTCCTCCTCCTCGTCGGTCCGGTTGTGGCCCGGCAGGAAGAACAGCGGGAACATGCCCAGGATACAGCCCAGCGCCACGCCGAACGCACGGCCCTGCCAAACAGCAGATAATAAATGAGATGGGATACAGCGGAGATAGGAAATGAGAGCAAACAACATAACACAGCCTTCAAACATCACCTTTGGGCTGGCCCATCGCATGATTATTTCATATACGCATGTTTATACACAAGACGCAGACTGATCCCGAGCGAAAAATCAGACCAGTAAGGGGCACACAATATCAAAAAACATAACTTTCGTATGATTTGTCCGTGGCTCACAGGAGCTGGAAACAACAAAAGCTGCCGTCTGTGGCAGCGGAATCGAGTTTCCGCCAAATATTTTACGAGCTGGGGCTCCCAAAGCCGGCGAGTAGTTTCTGGAGTCCGGTTCCAGCGTTACTGGCGTGGAAGGGAATTGAGTTTCTCAGTTCCTCGTTTGCTAGCCACTCAGGGAATTAAAGCAAAAAGACACTATAAGACGAACAGTCCATGGGGGATTTAAGCTGAGCTCCCAACGACCAAACCCGAACAGTACAAAGGATAGCACGGCACACGGGCGGTAAAACTATCACGGGGGATGGGTAATATGAGTTGTTACATCATGGTGGTTACGAAGGCTGTTACGAATAATGAACAACGAAGATAACAAAACTACTCCACATTTGATAAATGACTGGTTTACATCAAACTTGATAAGGTAAGAAAATCGCATACCTCATCATTAGTTATTGCAATCGATGGGCTTTCAAGGCACAACAAATATGTGATGTACCCAAAGTTGCCAGACGCCACTAGGAAGTCAAATAGCGGGCAGCCGTCATGCGATAGGAGGGGGGATAGGGGAGTCCACGCCGCTTATCTTACACATTACCAAACCAAACATTACCGAAGCCACTCAACGTGAGGGACGTATGCAAGTCAGTACCCAACGGACCTTTCCTACCCGACGCCCCTGTTTTTACTTACAATATTTGAGAACCAGTGCGATATTTTGAGGTCGTGCTGCTCGGGCGTCATGCTGGGAGCCGGCACGCCGATTCGCATCGCCAGCACCTCCACGTAGAAGGCGGAGCCTGTGGATGGGACGAGTGGGTCAGTGTGACGCTAAGTGGGGGTACGAACAACATAACGCGGCGGCATGGACGAAAAATAGACAGTACGAGGCACGGCCGGGCAAGACACGGTAGATCACGGCACGGGATGAGACAATCGGTAGAACGCCGGAGACAATAGGGTATGGCTAGAACGGAACATGGCTTGGGCAGTAAATAATCTTGCATAGTAGCCCGGTTAGAATGGCGAGGCAAGGGATGGGTATGGCTATGGGCCGCATCAAAGAGGCCATCAGGCCGAAAGCCCTTGAGGTGATCAGGTCGCTATGGAAAACCAAAACATCGAGACACGGGATGAAGGACGATTGGCTGGGGGTTCGGTGGGAGAGTCCACGGCAATGAGATTTATCAGCCAATGAGTTATCATGGCATTATCCCTTGCTGCCCCACATCCTGTTCCGAGAACGTAGCCTAACAACACGGGTCACACGGTAGGCGGAAGCGATGCAGCACGATACACGGGAGGGTGAATACAGAATGTTGTGTCTGGAGTTGGACTCAGACGAGTGGCTGGGGTAGTATGGTAAACTTGGCTGGTAGCTGGAGGTGACATTACCAAATATCCTTTCGGGAAGAGGTGTGTGACCTGCATTACGCACACAACACACCTCCAAAATAAGCTCCTAGTCATAGAAGGAAGACACAACTAGCGAAACTAACCATTCCACAATACCACCGGCCAACACGCACTCGACGAATCATGATTAGAGGTGGCAAAATGTGGACCCGAGGATCCGGTCCAAAGAACCAGTCTGGACCCATATGGGTCCAGACCGGTTCCTGGAAATTTTCTGACGGGTCCAACCGGGTCCTACCATAAACTATACATCTTGCACACTACACATGATTGCAAAATATCAAATGAATGGAAAGAAAACATTTGCTGATGTATGTTTCTTAGCACAATGTAGCTCATAAGTATTCCCAGTGAGAAAAAGGCTGTTTTACATGACGCAACTAATGATACCTAAAAATAGTTTGTATTAATTGACGTTTGGGGAACAAGTCCGACTGGTTCCGATTTCAACTTAGACTGGGCCTGACTGGTTCCAGAAATGTCCAGACGGGTCTGGTTCCCAAAATTTTCATCTTTTGCCACCTCTAATCATGATACATGACTGACAGCAGGTTAGCTCGGTAGCTTGGTACGATGCCTTCCCATCTACAAATTTCTGAACACCATCTGTTTCGCACACCGCCCAGCCCTGCCTCCCTCACTCTCTCCACCCACATTTTCCGGTCACGTGGTCTACCCTCCCCTCCCCGCCCCACGACACCCTCTCACCCCCTGACCGGTGACCGCACGCGTCATATACCCCGACCATTGGCATGTGTTATGTTTGGCCGGCACAAAACCGCCAAGAATAACCACCCGGGACGCATTCCACGCCACCATACGGGGCAGACGCTCTCCAGGCCGGCCCACCCATCTGCTGAACACATCCCGCTGGAAGCAGCCTGCCGAGCCGGTCGCCTTCATGGCTGCAGCGGCGCCATCCGTGCGCCCGGAGAGCACTCCCCTGTGCGGCTACCGGCGCCTTTTATCAGCCATTCCAGTGTGCGGCTCCACGTACTGCCCACACGTGCTCCTCGGAGCCCGGCCGCACCGACCACTTGCAGACCTCCTGGGCAGGTGACCTCTGACCTTTCCCTGCTACCGCTCGGACGCAGACCGCCCGGCCCGGCTGGGCATCCAAACGGTATCATTCCTGGCTCTAGTTAGGCCTTCATGTCAGCCCAAAATGCCTCATTTCACTGCCTGACGGACCCTTTCATCACGGAACGACTCCAATCCTGGCAGTGACGTAAAGCGAACGCTGACGTTTCGGCGCCGCCGGCCGTCTCGCCAAGTGATCAGCGGCCTGCTGTCATGTGACGTGACAAGGTGACGTCACGATGGGTGTGACGTGTGAGGGGGCGGCGACGGAAGCCGTCACAATACGCCACCGGGTGGTAGGTAGCCGTCATATGACGGTAGAAGGTAATCAAATAACGAACGTCACGATCCACGAATATAAATTGCACAACTGTGCAATCACATATGTTTGTCAACGCTACTGTCGAATATAAATGACATTGCTCGTAAACATACGTCAGGTGTTTCACACAAAACTCTTTGAATGACACTTGAATGACACTATTTCCAAGCACAGTTGACCTGAAAGGAAGGCCTGCTGAATTCTCACGTGCCTTTCTGTGACGTCATCGTCCACACCCCGTTGACGTCACAAGCCGGGGAGGCAAAGTGCCAAATTGGCACCTTCCGTTCGGGATGGAGGGAGGAGAGAAGACCACCTTGCGGCCCCACGATGGCAGGTTTAGGTGAAGAGTTAATGACATTGAATAGGGGTAACCAATTGTACAGAATCGAGGAGAAGGAGAATATCGCAACCAATCTCACACAAAAGAGGTAGGCGAATGCGCTTTCAATAGCAGATGCTTGCAATGCTCAGTTTTGCAAGTCGAAAAGAGGGAGCATTTGCCCCAATGACCTTGTTTTTTAGAATACAGCTTAGCTTCAGTTATATTAGTTCAGTGGCGCAGCCAGGGGGGGGTCAGAGGGTCAGCTGACCCCCCCCCCGAAATTTCTGTCAGGGGCCCGCTCGAGAGTGAGAGAGAGAGAGAGAGAGAGAGAGAGAGAGAGAGAGAGAGAGAGAGAGAGAGAGAGAGAGAGAGAGAGAGAGAGAGAGAGAGAGAGAGAGAGAGAGAGAGAGGAGAGAGAGAGGTCCTAATCTAATCGGACGAGCCCGCTTCGAGAAATGCCCACTGCGACACCTCGGGTGAGGGGTCGGCCTGGGGCCCCAGGTGGACAGGGCCCGGGCCCCCAGGAGAACGGGCCCGGCCCCCTGGGTGGATGGGACCCGGGCCCCCTGTAGATGGGTCCGGGCCCCCGAGTGGATAGGGCCCGGGCCCCCCGGCGGATGGGGCCCCGGTGGATGGATCCGAGCCACCGGGAGAACGGGCCCCGGGTGGACGGGGCCCGGACCCCCGGGTCCCGCGAGAACGGGTCCAGGCCCCTCGGGTGGATGGGGCCCGAGGCTCCGGGAGAACGGGCCCGGGCCCCCTGGGTGGAGGGGGCCCGGGCCCCCGGCTGGATGGGGCCCGGGCCCCGGCCCGGGAGAACGGCCCTGAGCCCCGGGTGGACGGGGCCGGACCCCCGGTTGGATGGGGCCCGGGCCCCGGGAGAACGGGCCCGGGCCCCCTGGGTGGATAGGGCACGGGCCCCTGGGTGGATAGGGCACAGGCCCCCGGGTGGATGGGGCCCGGGCCCCGGGAGAACGGGCCCGGGCCCCTTAGGTGGATGGGGCACGGCCCCCCGGGTAGATGGGGCCAGGGCCCCCCGATGGATGGGTCCGGGCCAACGGGAGTACGGACCCCAGGCCCCGGGTGGACGGGGCCCGGGCCCCCGGCTGGATGGGGCCCGGGCCCCCTGGTGGGCGGGCCCCGGAGCCCCGGGTGGACGAGGCCCGGAGCCCAGGTGAACGTGGCCCGGGCCCCCGCGTATGGATAGGGCTTGGTCCCCCATGTGGATAGGGCCCGAGCCCCCGGGTGAATGGGGCCCGCTAGGGTGACCCGCTTGCTTCGCAACGCGAATAAGGGGTATTTTCGATCGGTGGGCGTTTGGTTGGTCTTGTGTCTGTGGGTTATGTATCCATTACGGTCGATTGCCTTTTGACGGCTAAGCATTTTGATTTTGGGAAAAAATATCCATCGCATCGAGGTGCTCGTGTCTGATAATAACCATGCGTTCTACTATAGAACATGCCAAGTGTATTTCATGACATAGGTTGGCGTAGGTTATTGAAGAGTGAAAGCCATCGATGAATTACTATGTAGAGGTTTGAACATTTATATTCTTAAGAATATTGTTGCTCGTCATGCAAAAGCGATGATTGGACCTTGGTCACAATTGAATGCTCTTCCAATCTATGCCCATTTCAATTGTCAAACATACCAGGTTATGTAGCAAAACCCCTGTAATTAAGTAAGTCATAAGCAAATGCTATTTTCTCCAGCAATTTGTTCCACCTTGTTTTTGATCAATTAGCTTTTCACAATTTTCCCATGAGAGGCGGTAGGTACCATAGGCGGCGGAACGGGGGGGGCACCGGGGCACCGTGCCCCCCCTTGAATTCTGCAAGGGGGGCACCAATAGCAAGGTGCCCCCCCCCTTAAATTTGATGTATTAGTACCAGGGGCAGATTCGGGGAAAACTCCAAGGGGAGGGCCATGAATCGAAGTGGTGCCCCTACCTATGCCCAAAATTAAAACCTCAACGGATTTCGGCCACTTAATTTTGGTGGTGCCTATTTTCAGTTTTTTTTTATTTTCTTTATTTTTGGTTAGTCATGTGATGACTGGTGCCCCTGCTAGGCCGCTGATGCCCCTGGAAAGACTGTGGTACCTACCTACCCTGCCCCCTGACAAGCCTACGGTGGGCCCTGACATGACTTAGGTGCCCATGGGCCCTGACAGGCCCGTGGTGCCCCTGACAGGCCTGTGGTGTCCTTGCTAGGCCTGTGGTGTCCTTGGGCCTTGGCAGGTTTGTGGTGCCCCTGTTAAAACGCAGGTGCCCTTGACAGGTTTGTGGTGCTTCTGACAATCCTAAATTGCCAACGACAGGCTTGTGGTGCCCTTGACAGGCCCATGGTGCCCTTGCGAGGCCGGTGGTTCCCCTGCGAAGCCGATAGTGCCCCTGGCAGGCCTTTGGTGCCCCTGGAAGACCTGTAGTGCTTTTGCTAGGCCGATGGTGCTCCTGACAGGCCCGTGGTGCCCCTGCTAGGCCTGTGGTACCCCTGGCGGGCCTGTGCTGCCCCTGTCGGCTGTCAGGCCTGTGGTGCTCCTGGCAGGCATGTGGTGACCCCAGGCCCTAAGTCATGACCCATGTGACCTCCACCCTGGGATTCGCCACTGATTAGTACTGCCACGGAATATATAGTCTACGACACTGCGATGGCTTCTTGGTAATTTATTACATGTAGGATTAATGGAATTTATCAAACGAGAATAAGGAAGAGACAAAAACATAGGTACTTGAGGATCAGCTTAAAGTTAACCACACATACGGGCAGGGGTGTGATTTTCCTAAAATGATTGTGGGTGCCCAGCTGTAGGGGCGCCCGGCGCCAGGCCGTTTTGGGGCGCGATATATATTCTTTATGTGGGAGCCTAAATTAACACCGAATTTGATAACATTGCTAGCCGAATGGCGCTTCATGTGACGTGTCTGACTAAGCAAATACACGCTTAAAAGTGGAAACTGACCGGAAGGACGTAAAAAGCTGTAGAGGGGCGCCATCCAGTAGGAGGGGCACCAAATGTGGAGGCACCAGACGGTTACGACTTACGAGGGCGCCGTGAGACGATGAAAAGGGAAAGGGCGCCATTCTCTTAGGAGGGCGTCGAGTGATTGAAAACGCTATGTGGTCCAGGGGCGCTAAGAGGCCAGAAGGGCGCCGCACAGTCAGTAGTGCTACGTTGGTGGGGACGTGGGGGCGCCAGATGGTTACGAGGGCGCCTTGAGATCATGAAAAGGGCGCCATTCTCGTAAAAGGGTGCCGAGTGATTGAAAACGCTATATGTGGTTCAGGGGCGCTGAGAGGCCAGAAGGGCGCCGAACAGTCGAGGGATGCACGGTGAACAGAGACCCAAGGACGCGAGACGGTCAGGAGGGCGCCGTTGGACCATGAGAATGGCGCGGTGCTGTCAAAAGTGCGCCATTCTCCCAGAAGGGTGCCGAGTGATTAAAAACGCTATATTATCCATGAACGCGAGACGGTCAGGAGGACGCCGTTAGAGCATGCGAAGGGCACCGTGCTCTCGAAAGGACGCTTGCAGCCTTGTAAGACTTGTGGGTGCATTTTCATCATTGTGTGGGCATACATAATTCAGGATTGTGGGTGCATATGCCCCCACAAAGAGATATAAAATTACACCCCTGCATACGGGGGTGAACTGCCATTTTCGTTTAGTAAAAAATAAAATTAAAAAAATCATCGTGTCAGGGCTGTGACGAAAAATAAGTGGCCTAAATCCGATGAGAAAACAGGATTTGGGGGTACCCTAGGTTTGGCTCCTTGAGCCATGGTGCCCCCCCTTGTCTCAAATCGTTCCGCCGCCTATGGTAGGTACATTTCTCTTGCCAACAAGCGTTGTTTGAACCCGCTCCGTCTGACAGTCACCCAAAAATAGCATTAAGTCCAAAATCCGTCCAAAACGTCAATTTTTCAAGCATAAGTGCCCTCACGGGTGCACGTGGCGCGTGTCATCCCTGCACCGCACACCATTCGATAGCCCGTTCGATTCTCATGCACGATACTGTGTTCCTCGTGCCGATCGGACCCACGGTTACCGAGATACTGCACGGGGACCGGACCCGTGTCGGGCAAGTTGAGCCATTGTCGCCCATTTTTGCAAGCCGATTTATGCATGTAAAGTCTATGACGCGAATTTGCACTTTTTGAGCACGCGCCATGTGCTCACCACCGGCCCGATCGAGCTGTGACTCTTCACAGGCACGTTACCCATCCTTGTTCTATAAGTTGCGCGAATTTCAGCGCACTATGGAAGTTACGTCGCGATCAGCCGCTTTTTTACGCGAGTTCTTCGCGAAAAAAACCTTAGGGGGTTGCATCAACCCCTCCCCCCTGTGCCGGCGAGGGTTAAAACTTCTTACGAGCGAATTCACGTAATGAAGAAGAATAAAAGCACAATCTACTACAGCAGCCAATAGATGACTTAGGACAGGCACATGGGACTACTTTTAAATCTTGTGCGACAGAAGCAGGCAACAGTTCCGATTGCATATAATATGCTATGCATATTGCGGAATTGGGGCTCATATCGGACTCGAAAGATACGAAGTCATACGTCATAGTAACATATTTCTGTCGTGGTCAATTTGCGTAAAAAGTGAAGACCGGGTGATTACCGAGCTACTGTTCTATGCAAATTTTCTGATTCAAACTCGCTCAGGGTTATCGTGCAGGTAAAGGGGGCCCGCCCAGCAGAATGCGTATGAAATATGGAGAGATTCTGAAAAATGGGTGGGGGCCCGCACACTAGGGGGCCCGCTTTGGAAGCGATGACCCCCCCCCCCCCCCCCCGAAACGAAATCCTGGCTGCGCCACTGTATTAGTTACAGAAATCACAAAACTATGCTTTGGATGAGCGACATGCTTCGGCTGGGCGACGTATGATACCGAACCTCTTACGGTGGTATGATAAGTCACAGATTTTCAATCTCCTGCCATCACGGCAGGAAGTCTGAAAATCCCATCGGGATTGGTACACTCGGGGGCAGATTGATGTTCCACCACTCCCTACCCATCGGGCTCCCATGGCTCAGCACTGGCTGCTGTCAGTGGCAGGACTGGCAGCACTGGCACTGGCAGGCAGTGCTGAGCAGTGCTGAGGGCAGGCAACACTGGCAGCAGCCAGTGCTGAGCCATGGGAGCCCGATGGGTAGGGAGTGGTGGAACATCAATCCGCCCCCGAGTGTACCAACGAGCCGGAAGGAAGCCATGCATCGTCGTTCGATTGAATGAATATCGATGAGGGCTCGAATGGCTCATCGCCCACTGAACTTTGCACAGCCGTAAATTGTCATCAACAACAGACGGCGCAGATCCTGGGCCTGTATCCCCCACCTATCCCGGCCAAATGTGCGAGAAAAGTCATACCGACATTTCACCACCAGACATTTCAAGACGAGGTCGGGAATGAGAACTCACAAGCAAGAGACGGGATCTCTAGAGAGTAAATAAAGCAATACGCTGCACGAATAGACTTCTCAAGCATCTTTTGGAAAAGTAACGCTTCAACAAACAATTACCGGTCATCAAGTCATCTAAGAATGAACAAATTCATTTCATTTCCCAATTTTTCCACCAGCCACCGCCTCAGGCCTACGAGCATGCTCCTTTGGCACCAATGACGGGCCCGGTTTATTAACCAGCCTTCAACAACCCGTCCAAACTTATAACGAGCCCTCGAGTTCGGATAGCTTTTCCTACTCGATCCACGCTCGCTGCTCCACTACTAAAGCCTTTTGATCCCTGCGCTCCGCTTCACCCGGGAGACTTCGATCCACATACGGCGTCCCATCCGTCCCAGCTTCTGTACCACACACGCTTCCGCCTATCAACCACGCAGAGGCGGGCCCTCAAAGACATCTGGTCTCCATTGCTGCTCACCCATAAACCCGCAGCGGGCGTGTGGTTGTGACGTCAAAGGGATGCATGTTGTCCGTTTGATGACGTGCCTGATACACCTGTCTGCACCCCTCCCCCCGACCGGCGGAGGGGGGGGGGGGCAGCACCCGGAGGTTGCATCATTCGTCAAACCTCACATGTCGGCGGGCAGCAACCGAACGACTACCGTAGGTTTCCGAGAGCTACAGCACAGAGCAGCAGCCACGGGACCAGTGCCATCGTCCGTTCGAATAAATATAGGCGTGAGCTGCATGCAACAACGATGACGCTGCATTTAGGCAGCTTGATTAACAATCACACTTTGGTGACGAACCACGGAACGCAATAGGCGAGAAGTCAAATTGATTTTGAATTCACCTTAAATGGTTCCTCATTGGTTATCCAAACCGACGATCATCGCTAATGCTTGCTCCGCTGCCGGCGACGCATCCACATTCCCAATGGGCCAGCCATAATCCAATATCCATCGCACCACGACAGAATAGCACCAATATCCTGGCTCGGCCGGCCACCGACAAAGGCCCTCACTGCTCCGGGATCTAGCCAGCGCCGCCAGAAGCCAAAGAGGCTGTGATGTGTGACCTTTGGAGAGTGACATCTATCGAAGTCCTCAGGCTAGGTCAGAAGCAGGGGAAGAGAGAGATAGAGAGAGAGAGAGAGAGAGAGAGAGAGAGAGAGAGAGAGAGAGAGAGAGAGAGAGAGAGAGAGAGAGAGAGAGAGAGAGAGAGAGAGAGAGAGAGAGGCTACTCTGTCCTGCGGGCTGCGACAGAGATTCGGATGCAGTCATATGCAATCAAAACCGGTGAGCGACTGCTCTATGAGGCTATCTGCGTCACTGGTCGAAATAACACAATCTATTCGGGCAAACAATGTGGGCAGTTATGCCCCGTCCAGGCCAGAGATCCACCGGATTGCATCAGCACATCCCGGTGACCGTGAGGAGCATCTGCACAGCTGAGGAGGAGCTCCTTTCGGCGGGACTATCAGCAGTTACACAGCCCGTATACAACGCTGTACCCTGAGTCATAACAGTTGGATAGTGTCCTCCCTTCGAGGTGGAATCTCTCACGATACGATTTCGGGAGACCGTAAATTACGGTAAAATGACTTATATTTTCATTGGGTACATTCTGATCAACTTTTTGAGCTTGGTGCATACTGCATATTCGGGCACGGAACTCAGACTGCGCATCACCTGGAAGGCCGGTTGAGTCTAAGCACGAGGGGTTATAGGCAGTACACCCTTGGTTTCTCGAACCAAGGAGGTACTCAAGGCTGCCCCATTTCCCCGAGCTCAGGAGCGGCGGTACTGACCTATGCCGGCCACGTCGGAGACTGCGTTCCCGAGCGCCGCGGCCGCCATTGTACTGATGCCGAACGCCACCCCGACAGAGGCTTCGATGTAGTCACCCTGCAGAGGTCAGAGGTCGCGCAGGTCAGGTCGGGTCAACAGGCGTGCGGGTCTGCTAAAGTAAGGGGTCGGGGAAGCAGTAGAGTGAATGAAATGTTTATCAAACGTGTCTCGCATAAGATCACAATTCACAATAGGTCATCACGAAAAAAGTTACAAAATAGCAACACACCCGTCGTAAGCTTGGTCAAGACAAACAAAAGCAATGATTCCCGAGAAACCAATTAAGTCATGTCGTTGCTGTAGCCACGCTTACAGATACCACAAGGCACAGCAACCGTGACCGGCAACACCTCCCCTCCCCTTGAGTTACACGTTCTTTGAGGCCTTTGGTGGCAATTGGCTGAGACTGATAGCCCAAGCGAATAACATTCCAGTTCAAATGGAAATGAGCTCTGCTGCTGGGCACGTGCGATATTACGGTCACAAGAGATAATCGCAACGCTTTCAACCAATCGGAAACGTTCATGTTTCAGAAAATCAACAATTTAGAATCATTTATCGGTTCAAGTCCAATAGACAGAACCATAGCTGACGCAAGTCCGATCAGTGCATTTCTCTGTCCCTTTCTGCATGACTAAAAGGCAGTTGCAACAGCAGTTGGAGATCTTTTTCGTGCAGACCTTGACTAAGAAAAACACTGCGGCTGTAGCCAATAACATACAAAAGAAAGCGAGTTAATTAAATAAGAAAGAAGTAAATAAGAGAAAGCAGTACTTACCGCAGTGATCATAATGACATTGTCTAAGAATCCGAAGCCAATGAAGGGGATGGAGTTAAACAACGCAGCTGGAAAGAAGCAATGCGCAGATCAACCACCAGTGCCACATAATGTCGACCAGAGAGACAGCACGTTCAGGCACCACCACTGCACGACAGTGACGCACAGCACGGCATACGGGACGCCGTACAGGACGCCATACAAGACGACAGCCACGCCGACTGGTGAGCTACAAAGCTGCAGTAGTCATAGAGATCTTATGTAAGATCTCTATGGCAATGCTGGCTCAAAAATATGTGCTGACACTGAGTGCGTGACAACTACATCACCACGAGACTGAAAACTCGCTACGTTGAAAAAAGAATGAAGGTAACATGAGCATCAATAAAAATAAAGACTTGGCAAGACATCGATCAATCCATCAAGACTTGACTGATGACTGTGTTGGGTGAATTTGTGACAATTGATATCAATTTTTTTGCATAAACTAAAAAGTGCCCTCCAAAAAGTAAAACTCTGAAAAGACATGGGAAAATCCCACTGAGTGTTCTTTAACTGAAATTGACAGAAGACACACTCATCCCATAAAACCACGAACCATCCACGGCACGTGTTACAAAATAGGAAGATACGTGGATGGCACGTGCGCGGAGAGGCCACGTGCGGCCCGTGGCGCGTTACTTACTGTGAATCAGCTGACCGGGTGTCGGCTTCGGAATACTGGTCGCTGGAACGGAGAGAGGAGGCCATAAGTCAGCTGGCTAGGCATTCCAGGCAGAGCATGAGCAATGAACACTTGATTATAAAATCGGACATCTTGTATGACCATTTGAAAATGCAAGTATGTCATGAATATCCTGAATATCTACGTACATGAACATACACACTGGCAATATTTCTGCGTGACATGAAGACACATGAACATGAACATGACATGAAGTCACATTAACTATTAAGGTAATAGCCGATGTCAAGCATTCAAAGCAATACCTACTGCGTGCTACCTGCGTGGTCATTCCATATTCACGCATCCACGCAAGCACGCAGCGCGTTCCTCTCCACCCCTCTCCGTCCTGCGCACATACCCGCACCGTCGCACTCACTGGCGTAAACATCCCTCCCCAGCGGCGGCGGACCGAGGACCAGACCATCCATTACACCTCTCCCAGACCCGGACACCAGCTATCGAGTCTCCGTGTAACCCTACAGGTGCTGGAGGCTCGGTATGTCGTGGGTACCCTATGTCCGTCCCCTGGCGATGGTGTCTTGTCTACACAGACTGACCAAAAACGCGCGTTCGTGCCCTCCTGACACACAGTCCGAACGCACACCTAGAGTCGCCGACGCTGTGCGTATCGCCGGCTGTCTATTATGACAAACATCCTCACAGACAGTCCGAACGCACACCCAGAGCCACCGACGCTGTGCGTATCGCCGGCTGTCTATTATGACGGACGCAGACGCCGCGGGGCCGGTTAGTCCGGTTCTGACCGCTCTGTACGGTGAAAGGCGACTGATAGATACCGAGTACGGGTGGGCGACATTGGAGGCTGTGCCTAGTAACGGAGAGCAAGGCTGAAAGGGGGGGGGGGGTGTTAGAATCACCCTACCGCATCAAATATCCTTCTAAAACCAAACCACTTCCAGTACTCTAATCCCCGTCCTTCTCAATGGGTCAGCTCTATTTTCGTGCAGTAGATATCTCGCCATCCTTCCTGTTTTCGATCGCCCGTCCTTCCCTGTCCTTTCCGCCGGGGGAGTACTACTCTGACAGGAGGGGAAGTTGCGGAGTTCCACCGTACTCCCATCCTGACTACTTCCGCTCTCGATAGCCTCAACCTCTCGATATGACAGCGATGTTTCTAAGAACCCGGCGCACGCACCCGAGCATTCAGTCCTTACCGTGCCATAATGTCTGACACGACGACATAGCGATTGAGCAAGGAGGCCTGCTGGCTTCTCCGAAAACGGTAGCCGCTGGAAGCTACTGCGTGGTTTTACGTCATGGGATTAAATAATTGTCAGGGAAGCCCCGGGAATTCACGCTGTTTGAGATTGAGAGCAGTGTGGTCACAATGTTCTTGGTGAGTCTTCACAAGAAATGGGCGGACCGAAAATGATCTCTGATAATCCTAACAGCACCAACTTGTCAAGATGTCTACGAAGAGTGAAAACTTACAGCTGTCGTCCAACATTACAACATTACACAAACACACCCAAAGAGCACGGTGCATAGAAACGCCATCAATGACAATCTTTTTATAGAGCCGAGCACTAGGCAACTACGCATTCCTATCTCTCCCCTCGCCCAGTCTACTCGCATTACGCGACGGGAGCTGCAAACTGCAAGCACGTTTCACCACACCCTTGACCCTTCAAGCGCCGATGACGCATGACCGATGACGCATGCGGCCTATTCGCACCTCCGGCTCACCTAAATTCCACCACTTTTCTCTCATCTGTGTGTAAGTCCAGCATCCTTCGCCATGCGTCCCAGGAGATTGTGCGAGTGTCCCATCGCCACCCAAACCGACCGAAACAGGCCAGACGGTCAGCGAACTCACGGCACGGCCCCGGTCCTCCGCGCCCCGCGCCGGCCGGAGACGGGCCGTGACGTCACTGAGTGACGTCAGAGGCACGGGACGGGCCAGCTGCAGGGTGTAGTGCGGTGGGCGGCGGCTGGCTCCGAGACGAGCCGGGCCACGCGCGGGGTCTGGTCGGGCGCACATGTGGCTCACCGACTAATGCTGACTGAATAGTGTCGGTTTGGGGGTGGGCGTCGCCGAATACAACTGGCGTAGTCGGAGACAACACGACGGTCTCCTATACGTAGTAGGTACGGACGATGACTGGGCCTTTAAACAACTCGTCACAGGGAATGTCCCATCTTCTCGGGCAGTCCAGCCCTCAAGCTGCCGAGCCTAAACATAAACCGTGCAATAAACACCGAAATCCTGGCTGCCAGCCGGCTTTTCGGCGAGCCGTAACCAGACCGTAACCACCGACGCCATCGAACCAGCCGGATTCCCAATCTGTGTCCGTAGCCAGCGGCGCTACACCGCTCCCCGGGCTGGGTACACAGCGCCCTGCAGCTTCCAGGGATGATGACATCGACAGACGACACGGTGTCCAGACCGAGACAGAGCCGCCGGCAGGATGACAGGTTCTCATTACGGCGCTGTGCCGAGAGTCCCTCGGAGACAGGCAAATGATGAGATGTGAGACGGACATGGGAGAGGAGAGGAGAGCAGAGCAGAGGAGAGCAGAGCAGAGAAGAGGAGAGGAGAGGAGAGGAGAGGAGAGGAGAGGAGAGGAGAGGAGAGGAGAGGAGAGGAGAGGAGAGGAGAGGAGAGGAGAGGAGAGGAGAGGAGAAGAGAGGAGAGGAGAGGAGACGGGAGGAGACGGAGGCGAATGTTTGGTAATTGCGGTAGGAAAAAGCAGGCGCCGGATGAACGAACGAAAAGTGACAAATATATGAATACAAAATGGCAATGCTGGATCACTTCCTTCATCATTGCAATGCAAGTTCATATTCATCTCAATACGACTTCCCCGCCTATTCTTTCCACCATATCTTATTGACTTCCTAATATCGCCACCTTATATTGCTGCGGCTATCCATCCCGCCATGGGTCGCACATGAACGATCCCCCGACGTCGGGTGCTAAGCTCGCGGGGCGATCAGCTGAGTGTCTGACGCGCCCGGGGAGGTGTCCGTATTTATGATATGATGATCGGGGGGGGGGGGGCAGCGGCGGGTGTGGGACTCCTAGAGCGTCTGGACCAGACACAAGGCAGCTGGGCAGTCAGCCCAAGGAAGGCTTGCATCAGCCAGACTTCGTGCATCCGTCCTTCCGTCCTTAGATGCTTCAGTTCATGTGCGATGTGCATGTCCTTCCGTTTGTGTTTCAAAGTAGGAAAAAGATCCACTCGGAAATGATAAGACACTTCGCAAACCTATACTCAAATTTCGAACAGTAGCTTCGAACTGGTCGTAACTAGGCTACTGGACATGGCCTCCCGATTTACTCCATAGATTCGATAGTTGAGCCCCCAGCCCAGGTGCCAGAACGCTGGTCAAGATTTGGCTCGTCCAAGGCTCGTCCCTTTACAGGGCGAGGTCGTGACCTCGTGTACTCAAACGGTGACATGCCCTGAAGCTACACCACGAGACATCCCGAGGTTACCTGAGAAAACCCAAGGCTAGCTGAGACAGCACTGAGTGACGTGAGGCTACCAAACGTCACCTCTCTGAAGAAGCCCTCTCCAACATCATACGCACACACCAATGCCAGGTCTGGGTCAGTTCTCTGACAGACAGACTGGCGTCACGCCAAGGTTACTCGGTTGCTCCCGACACTGATTCAGTGGCTACCGGCCAGCTGCTACACTCCAGCCTCCGGATGACCGTCTGATGAGGAGCTCAGGGTCACCACTCACCACGCATACTGACTGGCTCACTGCGTGTCTGCAGGTCCGACTGGAGAAGGCTGCCTGTCAGGATGGAGTGAGAAGGTGCCAGGCCAGACTGGCGTAGTGGTATTCCAGGAGGTAGTCGGGCTGTGGAGGTGGCAGTGGCGGTGGGAAAAGGTGTCATGTGCCATCGAGCGTGTCAGTGTGTCAGGGAGTTGATACAGATACAGAGGTCATGGCGTTTCACACCAGTAACTCTGCTCCGTGTGCACTGAGGTCATGCATTCGCGACATGTTCACATGACGAGTCACGTTCTTGGAATACCGAGGATAAACCGAGTGAGACACGCCAGTAGACCGGTAGTGCTCAAACTCACGAGCAAGGAGTTGGTCAACAGCGCCACGTCATCAACACATACCGTCGAATAGGTGGGCCCTATTACTGATTAGGGTGTCTCATACCGTACGCTCCCCAGATCTGTTGTCCAGTATTGGCTGTTAATGGCCGTCTGCACCCAAATCGCGTTATCGTTCATATCATGATCGATATCAAGACGCCCGCGTTATCGTTCATATCATGATCGATAACAAGACTTAGGCCGACGACGAGTGTGTCTATAGGACGGTATTTTTGGATTGAAAGTTGCTATTGGGGAGGGTGGGAGGGGATCGTTTTCCACAGCCTGTCGCTTCGTTTCCACCCTACCGCACTGTCCGCCGCCTCTGAGCGCGCGCCTTGGACTGCCCGACCTGTTTTGCGGCCTGTGTACTGTGCGTGTCTTATCTCGCCTCGGCCGAAGCCCAGTCCCCTCCCCCTGGACCCGGGTCGTCAACCGCGCCACGACTCGGGTCTCCTCCCACCCCTCTGCCCCTCCCTCCCTCCTCGTGCTGGCCATCCTCCGCTCCCTCTATTCGAGCCCCAAATCAAGCTATTCTTCTCCAGTGTCGGAGGGACGCCGGCATCTTCACAGGAGAGGCGTGCCAACAGTGAGTCACATCCGCCCACCCCAGCCGCCCAACGTACATAGCAGCTCGGTTTGGCCGCAGCCCGACTGCGATGGTAGGTACTTCGAAATGTTGGGAATGAATCGGGTAGGGTTGAATGCGATTGAATGGGAGCACTAGGTAATAGGTATGCGCAATCACGGTTGTTAGGGAATGGGAGAAAATATTGTTTAAATCGTTGAAAGCGGTAATGACTGAGTTGGGATTGGCGGAGCGAATAGGATGTGATGTGGCATGGCAGCTATGGTCTGCGCCTAATTTCAGCGTCACTTTCCGCTTGTTTAATCAGCCTCATCCAATCTTAATTCA